AAAGGCACTGTTTTCTCCTTACTATCTTCTCGAATCACAGGTGCCATGTCACGGCAATAAAAGTTTATAGTGGGGAAAAAAGGAAAGAAGCTTTTGTTAAGAGTGTCATTAAAATCATGTTTGAATACCCCTGATAAAATGCTGATTTTAATTTAAAATAAAAGTTGGGACTGAAATCTTTTAAAGAAAGAAGAATTCATCAAATTTAGTGGACTTGGCAGAATTCACTCTTCTTTGCAAAAATCCTCCAATCTGAGACAGATTGTCAGGTCCTCTAATCTCCACATGCTTCTGTAGATCGTCTCCAAGTACCTTCAGGCAGATTCAGTCTCTAGCTCAGATACTGTAATCTGTGGCCTGTTTCTTAGGAGAGAAAACTTTTTTTGATTTCTTTTAGTGCTATATAATCAGGAAAGATCATGGTCATGTTCATCATCAGTTTTCTATGTACTGTCTGAAGATTTTGTCTGACATGAACTAAGCCATTGCTCCATACACCTCCACCAAGTACCCAGCTTAAGTTGGATAAAGTTGTATTTCTTATGTGCGGACTCTTTCTTTTTTAGACCCCACATAAGGTTTGAAATGTCCTAAAGACTTTCTGTTTTTTTATTACTATAAGATATTTGTCTCATGTTTTAAGGAGACCTTTTTTTTTTTGACAAGCTTTGATATTTTTCCTTCTTTGGACAAAGGCCCTCACCGTCATTTACCAAACAAACATATGCAGACAGAATAAATGAGATTTTTACCACATATACCACTAGATTATTAATTGTGTAATTACACAACCTGTTTATTATTTATAGGGCCTTCGGTTATCTACTTAACTGGTTTTTGTCCTGACTAGCCCAGAGTTTTCTATTTCTTTGTAATGTCTAAGTTGAGGTATTCGTTTTATTGTTATGTACCACTTTACTGTTTTCCATTCAGTGCCTTATAAAACATTGTCTGCTTGTTTTAATATAAACTCCAACAGGTCAATGTCCCCTAAATATTTCTGGGGATTCCTCTGTGGGCTGTACTTTTTGCGTAATGTTAAACATACGGAAAGGCTTTATAGAAAAGCTAATGTTTATTCAGAATTGACTCTTTATCGATTGTTTTCTGTGGTGATTGCTATTAAAAATAAGTTTTAATTTGGTATAAACAATTTTGCCCAAAATTTTTTTTTAAATAATATTACAGTTGCAATTTTATTCTAATTATCCTTTGCACTACCTGCAAGCATTGTGTTTAAATCTCAGGTTTCGTCGTTTCCTTGACCTTTATAACTTTT